CAAGGACGAAGAGGTGGATGGTTGTGAAAAGCAAATCCCGGAGTAACGAGAAAAGCGCGACGAAAGGAAGAACACGGGGACGCTCCCCGCCAGGCTCTGTTCAGTTGACCAAATCGATTGAGAGAAGCGCAGGCACTGCCGCTCGCAAGGAGGGGGCTCGAGATGGTTGACCCCTCGCGGTTCTTTGCTGGCGAATCTCCGGCGATGATTGGATGGCTGCCAGATTAACGACAGAGGGTGGAGGAGGGAAACGGAGGACGGAAGCTTGAACCAAAGCGATGGCAGCGGCATCGCGACGACCAGGACCTGCAGGTGAGAGAAAACACATGCCGAAAACTGGGGAATGATCCCCGCCGGGCTCTTCTCACCTGGCCTGAAAGATTGATCTGAAAAGCGCGCGCACGGCTGCTCGCAAGCAGGGGGCTCAAGATGGCTGAAAACTCGAAACTTCTCGCCAGCGAGTCTCCATTCCCCAGACTGCCTGGCAGCAGGCAGAGACCTGCACATAACCAAATGATTGGTCAAAGTGGAGCCTCGAAAAATACTACGAAAGCGTTATTCTGGCCTTTGGATGACCACAAACAGAAAGCGTGAATTCAAAGGAGGAGGGATGCACAACGGGCGCGCTTGATACTAGAGGCACCACGCAAAACCCACCTCGCTAGGGCACAAGCGAGACATGCTTGGGGCATGGCCCAGCTAGCCGCGTTCACTGCTTCCCACCTGGAGCGTTCCCCTGGAGCCCGATGCGACCCAGACCCGTCACCGACCATATCCCGATTCCCCCACAGCATCTCTTCGCGCGAGGACCCACGGGGCCCCCGCGTCATTCCACCGACAGAATCGAGTCGATGTCCTCCAACGGGCACCGTACTGGCCAAACTCGGCGGTCGCTCCAACGCGTTTCCGAACAGATCGAAGGTGCACCGAAACAAAATTCCACGCGAACGAAGTCAGCGGTTTCCGACAATCACGGAAACGGAATGTTTCAGGCACGTCTTTATGATATGCTGTGTTGGTCTCAGCGCCAAATAGCCAATCACCACCCGTTGTTGCACTCCTGCGCCAAGCCCGCCCCTTCCATGGATCGACGCAGAATATGTAGAAATCGCGCGATGCATTCGACCACGCGGAGCCCGGCGCATCAAGGAACACACCTCGAACGACGCGACTAGAGATCCAATCTTTCTGATGAGTCTGACGAGGGCGGGGCTGGCGAGGTCGAAGCCCCGTCATCGACGGGGCCCAAGTTTGACCCCCGCCGTTCCAGGCCGCCGCTCACACTCCTGCTTCCCGGCAATAAAAAACAGTTCAACAAGAAACTCGACTGCGGCATCCACTGCGACGCATTGCGTCGCGAAGGGCTCGCTTGCACCTGCGAAGCAGAAATGGACGCGGGACGCGATCAACGGCTTGGCCGGCGCCACTAGCTCCCCACAAGCCCCACAGTATCAAGGAGCTGCCCCCGTCGACGCGGCGGGCAGCGCCGGCTGGCACTTCCCCGCGATCACCTCCGCCAGCCGCTCGACCACACGGCGCCCGCAGTTCTGGGCGGGCTTGGGGGCCGCGGCCAGTTCTGCCAGATACCAGGCGCGCTTCGCGCGGCGCTTGCTGCAGCGGCCTGGCGAGTGCCGCGGGCGAAACTGGAAGTCCGCAAATCCGCGGCGACCCTCGGCCGCCTCGCAGCACGCCGCCCCGCGGCGCACTCGACGCGGTCGCGCGCGGCCGCGGCCGAGGGCGCAGGACCACGCGCGGAACTGCCGCCCGAACTCGCTGGCGGACATCCTCCACGCGCGCGGCCCTCGGTCCCAGCGGCGCAGGGCCCTTCATCTGCTGGAGCTGGCGGCCGACGGCGCCCCGCGCCCTGCCCGCCCCACCGCTCGGCCAGCCCGACCGCGGCGAACCCCGGCGGCTCGGGGGGGCGGGCCCGCGTCTTCCCGCGACCCAAGCGGCGGAACCCCCTCGCGGCGGCCAGGGCGGCCCATCCCCCCGCGGTCGCCCATCCCCTCCTTCGGGGGGGAGCGCCCGAGGACAGCGCAGAGCGCGTCGGCGCGGTCGCTGGCGCGGCCCGCGAAGACAAGCGCACCCAGGCACAGGGGCATCATGGCGCCCACCTGCTCGACCTGCGCGAGGCTCACGCCCCATCCCTGGCACCGCTGGCGAAACTCGCCCCGCTCGCGCCCCAAGTTCCGCCCCGCGCGACGGCCAACCACTGGCGCCCCACCGATGGGCCGCGCCGCCGGGGATCGATGGGGTCGCCGACGAGGAGGTCGCCGCGGCCGCCAAGGACGGCCCCCGCGCTGCCGGCACGGTCGCTGAGGAAGGCCTCGTCAACGCGGGCCCGCAGAGCCTCGGCCGCCCCCCGTTGAACTCGCGGGGCCCAAGATTCAAGGCGCGGCAAGGGTCGCCCCGCGGACCGGCCACTCGAGCCGACGCCACGCGAGACGGAGCGCCCCCCGGCTGCCACCCCGAGGGGACCCAACGCCCAACGAAGATTGATCCCGAAGAACACGGACAAGGCCGCGAGGAGGCGAAACGATCGGTCGACACTCACCGATGCGGACCGCCCTCTGCCCCTGGCAGGGCAGGAGGCCAAGGTCGCGCATCACCGGAAGGCGGCGTCGGTAGAAAGGCCAACGCACCGCGGCCGATGCCCAGCGCCCATCGGGGCGGCCCGCTCCCTTTAGGCCATGAAGCCACGCATCCGCCTGGAGCGCCAGCTGAACAGCACTTGCCACGCCCGCTCGTCGCTTGCCAGCTGCTCGGGCACGGCGACGAAGCCGGTCGCGCCGCGTCCCCGGCGGGCGCCGGAAGGCGGCTGCTCGCCCGGCAACTCGAGAGGGGGCGCACTCCACGAGCTGAGCCCGCCAAAAGGTCGAGGCCCTCAGAGGCCCCGCGCGCCCCGCTGCCGATGCAGCCGCGACGCCGAGCTCGAGGGCGGACAACGCGGCAGGGGGGCGCTCTGGCGGGAGCGACCGTCTCGCCGCGACTGTCGCCCCCCTGGGGGCACTTCGGGCGCGCCTTGAGCCACATGCCCCTCCGGGCCCACGCTGGACCGGAACTCTGGCCCCCCATGCGGCCGTCGCCCTTGCCGCCGCCAGCAAGCGCCCGCAGCCGCCTGAGCTCCGCTGCCTGCAGCCGCACCCCGTCCCGTCTTCTGCAGCTCCGCGTGGCTGGAAGCGCCGCCGATGCCCCCGCCGCCTCCGCCGCCGCCTCCACCGCGGGCTAAGGCCCACTCTTCTCGCACCTCCCTCTCGTCTTTGTGAGTGGACGTTCTTCGGAGCAGCTCGGTAGTCATTTGCTCCTGCAACTCGGGGGGGACTATTGGCAATCCTCTGGTCCCCCCAGTTCCCGTGTATAAGGTTTTATCGTCGAATAGCTCGTCCTTCGACCTGCCAAGCACCCTGCCCCGATGTCGCCACTCGGCCATTTGAGCCCGTGTTGCGAGCAACTCGCAAGCCGCATGCTCGGCGGTGTTGGCTTGATCGAACACCACCCCTAATTCCAACATTAGCACTGCAAAAGAATGATCCTGAGCTCCTTCATCCCAGGTCGCCAGTCCTGACTCGCGAACCGATTTCGCATGGCGCGCCCAGGGGAGCTAACCTTGGAACGAGAGAAACTACACACACACACACCGTTTTACAGCACGAGGCCCCGTGATCGGCCAGCCTGTCCAAACCAATCCGGACCTCAATGCTGAAGGGCAAGTGTCGCAAACCATGGGCAGCAGGCGGGCGTCAAACTCGAACTCTGAGCACGTGGCAGCTGGGTCCACCGCGATCGCGATCAGCTGATTCCGCCCCGCCTCGCCAGCACGCAGTCGCCCATCTGAACGTACGAATCCACCCTCGAAGACGGCAGCTTCTGTTTGTCCGTGCCCCCGCTCCAAAGGCGAACAGTCGAGTGCCCGAGTCGAAGTCAGTCGCTTGAGCTGGAAGCCGACTCGGAGGTCTGCCTGGTCGCCGCGGTGTGGCGCCCTGCCCTCCCGCGGAGGCGCTGGGCCCGCGCCGCGGGCTGGACTGGGCTCTGCGCGAGGAGCTCCTCCTCCTCCTCCTCCTCCTCCTCCTCCTCCTCCTCCTCCTCTTCTTCCTCCTCCTCCTCCTCCTCCTCCTCCTCCTCCTCCTCCTCCTCCTCCCCCTCCTCCTCCCGTAGCGTCACTGGTCAACCCATACCAGATCACCCCTGCGATCTGGAGTAGGGCTGGGGGGTCAGGTCTGCAGAACACCCCAAAACGGACGCCAAGGGGCGCCATCAACCTGCTCGGTCGAGCTGGAACTGATGCACCACACCCGGCGTCAAGCCCAACCTTTTGGACATAATCGAACGGTTGGACTTTGCACATCTTCGTCGATTAACCGGCGAGGCGCTTGACCATTTTTGGTGGTCCTGCAGAGGAAGGCGCTCTCTCACCCTCGGCCCTGCTCAACGCACTGCTATCTCCCCGTGCCCCTCGGGCCCGTCCCCACACCGCATGCCCAGGCCGCCCCCCTCCGGGCCCACGGGGACCCTGGCGCCGGTCTCCGCCTGCAGCTCGGCGACCCTGCGTTGGCCCTTGCCCACCAGGCGCCCAGCGTCCTCCATGCTCACCACGAGCGCCATGGGTCAGCCCACGCGGGCGTTTCCTTATTCGGCGTTTCGACATTGGGCGGAAGGAGGGGGGAGGGGGGGGGTGTCTGGCTCCGGACCTCTGCTTACCGCGACCGTTTGCGACAGTGCGTCCCGTGGGGGAGACTCCACCTGCGCGAAACGGGCGCCCAAACCCGCCAAGATCTACTCCAGGGGGGCGGGGGAAAGGGGGGGGGGGGGCGCGAGGGCCCGCGCCGATTGGCACAACAGTGGATAAGCGAACGATCTCCATACCAAATCACCCCTGCTCGCGCCGACGCCGCCTCGACGCCTCGACGCCGCCTCGCCGCCTCGTCGCCTCGCCTCGTCGCCTCGACGCCTCGACGCCTCGCCTCGACGCCTCCTGGGCTGAGGGCTCGCGTCGACGGCGCCTCGGCGACCTTCGCCTCCGCGCCTCGGCCCCCCCGCGGTCCGCGTCGCCTCCGCTGCATGGCCACGCGCGCCGCCCGGGCCCGACCCCAGCAGAGATGGGGCAGCAGGCAGCGCGGGCTCGCAGGCCTAGAGGCTGACGCCAACACCAATTTCGGCGGTGTGCCTCCACCGAGGGAAGACGATCCCGATCTCGGCGATGGTGGTAATATTCTGGCTTCCAGGGTGGCCGAACTATTACCACCAACACCGAAAATCTAGGATCACCTTCCCCCTGTGGAGGCAACCCCCTGTCTTGGTGCTGGTGCCAATTTCCAGGCCTCCAACAGGCGATCCCACTCAGCACCTCGACGAGGTAGCACAGCACGAAGGCCAACCGCACGCAGTCCGAGAACGGGCTCTGGAGGATTCGGCCGCCCGACATGGGTACGGAAAGAATGGGTACTACGATGCCGAGCAACAGGTGTTGTCCCGAAGCGACAGAGGCCGCTGCTGGGCAGACGGCCTTCCGCCTCGAATGAACACAGGCCGCGGCGGCGTGGACAGCGAGTCCTGTTCAAAATGAGCAGGAACTGCTGTTGGGCATTGTACCCATTCTTTCCGTACCCATTTCGGGCGTCCAGAGAGGAAGCACCGTCGAGCAACATCCAGCGCCGGTCCGCTGTCTCCACCCCAGGACAGCACGGTTGTGGGAAGTGTGGGGAGATATGCAATCGGGGAAAGCATGCAGGGATCTGGAGGTGGCCGCTTCTGAAGCTTGAGCAAGAGCTTGAGGGGAGCGGAGGGCAGGGGAGGGGGGGGGGGGGGGACGGGAGGGGGGGGAGGGGGGGGAGGGGGAAGAGGGGAATGGGGGGGGGCGGGGGAGGGGGGGGAGGGGGAAGGAGAGAGGGGGGGAACGGGGAGAGAAAGAGCAGAAGGCCCAAGACGCATCAACAATTTTGCAAGAAGCCTTCCCTCCAACTTCCCTATTCACAGGTCCCTTCAATAATTAATTTTCGCAACGGGAAATTCCCCACTGGAAGACAATCGTCTGAGAATCTTCATTCGTGCCAAAACACCGTTCCTGTGACATCAGCGCCGCGAATCAACGCGACTGTTGCGCCCTGACAACCCTAAACCGTGTCAGAACACCATTCCTGCGATTTGAACACCGCAAGTCAACGTGACGGCTGCGTCCTGACAATTTTGTTTCTTGCCAGAACACCACCCCTCGGAATTAGACCGTGCAAGCCCTTGAAAGCCTGGCAAAAAATGAAAACGAATGTGCTCGGCGTCCAGGCGAACTACGTCACATTTGGGAAGCGGCCCGCCCTCCATCCGTGAAGCTGCTGTAAACTTCTAAGACGAATGTGCGCGGCGTGAAGGCGGGAGCCACATTGCGAAAACGGCCCAACAGCCCGCCCTCTACCCTTGAAACTGCTGCAAACTGCTGTGACGAACGTGCACGGCGCTATCACGCGAAAGCCACACGTTGAAAACGGCCCGCCCTCCATCCGTGAAGCTGTTGCAGATGCCAAGCTCGAAGATCATAAGAGGTGAGGAAGCCCCAGGAGGAACTTCATGCCCGCCCTACCGGCACGCCTGGGGGTGCGACAGGGAGGAGCGATCTGGAAGGAAGAGGGATGGAGGAAGAGGATTGCTCTGTTGTTTTATTTATTTATTTTTGTTGTTTTCTTCACTATTGTTTTAGGGATGGAGGAAGAGGAATGAGGAGTAGGATGGAGGGGAGGAGGAGGACGCTCCTCCCCGGCCACGTCCACGGGGGCAGCAACGCCCTCGGAAACTCCCGGCTCACTCCAGGCTCTGCCCGGCCTGGCAAGCGCACTCGGCGCGCGGCCGCGAGGGGGATGCCGTCAGACAAGACTGTCCTCCTCCTCATCCTCCTCCTCATCATCCTCCGCCCCCCCCCCACCTTCTCGTCGGCCCGTCATCCACCTCATCTTCCTCCGTCTCCTCCTCCTCCTCCTCCTCCTCCTCCTCATCCTCATCCTCCTCCTCATCTTCCTCGTCCTCCCCAAATCCTTCTTCTCAACATGTTCCTCTTTTCCTCCTCCTCCCCCTCCTCCTCCTCCTCATCATCATCATCATCATCATCATCATCATCATCATCAACAACCTCCTCCATCTCCGCCGCCTCCTCCTCATCATCATCATCCTCGTCCTCCTCATCATGGTCGTCATCATCATCAGCAGCAGCAGCATCAACATCATCATCACCACCACCAGCACCATCAGCATCATCAGCATCATCAGCATCAGCAGCGGCATGGTCATCAACAGCTTAATCAGCATCATCAGCATGAGCAGCAGCATGAGCTTCAGCATCAGCATCATCATCATCATGAGCAGCAGCAGCAGCATCAGCAGCATCATCAGCGCCATCATCCTCTCAGCATCACCATCAACCATCCACATCATCAAGGCCTCTGCCTCCTTCTTCAACATGCACTGTTCTCCGTCACCATCAACCTTCCTCAAGCATTCCCTATCACAATCCTCATCTACCGTGATACACCTCATTACAACTCCTCCGCTCACATCTCCAGTCCTACCTGCCTCTTCCTGATCTCTGATACTCCTCCCCTCCTCCCTGTTACCCAGTCCCCCTGCTCCTCCGCCATAATCCTCCAAACTCATCCTCAACATGGCACTCCTCCTCAACAAATCTCCCGACAACCTTCCTCACAAAAGCGCACTCGCAACCCTCGACCGTCTCTCTGCTTCTCATCTTCCTCCCAGTTGATCAACCGTCCTCCTAAAACCTCTACCTAAACCCTCCTCCTCCTCCTCAGGGATTCGCCTCCCGCCGCCTCATCAGCGTCTCTTCTTCAACCTTCCTCCGACTCCTCTCACCTCCTCACTCCTCCCCCGCCGACCTCATCATCGTCAGCATCGTCATCACCATCATTCTTCCCATGTTTCCCTCCTTCCCCTCCTCCTCCCCTCCTCCTCCTCTTCCTCCTCCCATCATCGTCCGCCTCCTCGCCGCCCGCCTCCCGTCGTAACCGATGAGACGCCACGTCACCCACGGTGGGGAGCGCCCGCGCGCCCGCACTTGTGCCTCCACCGGCGACGCGGCACCACAGTCGCGACGTGCGAGGTCCACAGGCGAGCACGGAAAGCGGCACCCAGCACTGTGGGCGAAAGCCGAAGCGCGTTCAGAACGACCGCGGACGCCCCCCCACGCACACGCGCACACACACACACACACACACACACACACACGCACGCACGCACGCACGCACGCACGCACGCACGCACACGCACACGCACACACACACACACACACACACACACACACGCGCACACACACGCATACGCACACACACTTACGCACACACACTTACATGCACACACACACACACTTACTGACTAACTAACTTACTTACACATACACTTACAAGTACAAGTATAAGTACACTTACATGTGCACGTACATCTACACACACACACGCACACACACACACACACACACACACACACACACACACACACACACAAAACACACACACACACTTACACACACACACACACACACACACACACACACACACACACACACACACACACACACGCACACACACGCACACACACACACCCTTTTTATGTCGGCGGCGAGGCAGAACTGCACCAGCTGGCGGCGATCCGGGGCAACCGATACGCGAATTGGCCCGGCGTGCAAGCGGGGGGAGCAAGACAGACAGGGCGGCAGCGAAGGACAGGAGCAAATGGAGGGCACTCAGACGCGGCACACACACACACACACACACATCTTCCTCCGCTGACCGGGTGACGCCACCACAGCGAATAATAGATCGGGCCGCTGGCTACTAATTATGTCAGGTTGCATCTTCCACAGTGGGCGGCCCAACAAGCGCTACAATATGGCCCAAGAGGCCCCCGAGTGGGCCCCGAAGACGGCCCAAGATGGCTCCAAGGCGGCTCCAAGACAACCCCAAAACGGCCCAGGAGGGCCTCAAGACGGCCCAAGAGATTCCCAAGCCGTCTTTGAAGAGCCCCCAAGGTCCCCAAGACGATCCAGAGGGGCCCCCAAGACGGCGCAAGGGCACCACAAGACGGCCCAAGAGAGCCCCAGCGTGGCCCGAGAGAGCCCCAGGAGGTCCCAAGGAAGGCCCGACTGGCAAGAAGAGAGCTTCAGACGGGCCCCAAGATGATCCATCCCAGAAGGCCCCGCCCCAGTGTTCCACCAGTGGTGCCCCGAAGTGCGGACAGAACACCCAGAATACCAGCGCGGCCGCACCTTCGCTCGACAGTTCACCACACAGGCGCTTCCAGATCGGGTCTTGCTCGAAGTGCCCCTGGTCCAAGGTGCCCCTAGGATTTGCAAGGAGGCCCCCACGGCCTCCAGGGCACCCCTCACGAGGCCCAGGACCCCAGGGGCTCCAAGATTGAGCGAAAAGCTGGGGGCACCCTGGGCCAGGGGCACCTAGCAACCCCCGACCAGAAGGCAGGGGGTGGCGGAGATTCGCCAGAGGCGTCTTCCATGGCTGACCTTGATCGCAGCGACGCCAGAAGATGTTTACATGTGGATGCGAGCCTGGTAAAGACGTCTTCGATGCAAGGACGTTTTGAAATACTTGACGCGCCGTTGAAACTCCATCAAGTTCTTCCGAGACTGAAATGCGAAACTCACAATCGAGTTTCACGTCTCGGAGTGTGCCTGGACTCCGCGCGCTGCAACCCCGCACTACCTCAACCGCCTCTCGGGAGGAGGCGTACGTCCGAGAGCCGCGCTTCTGTGTCCCAAGCGCCGCTCTGGAAAAAAATCTGACAGCCACAAGCTCTTCTCAAAGCCTGGTGGAGCCAAGCCCCGACCGCCCTCTTCCCCAAGACCTCCGAGACGAGCCTTTGGGCGTGGCCCCCTCGACCCCTTCCCTCCTGCGACCAGCGCCTCCCTTCCGAGCCGCTGCTGGACGGCCTGGGGGGCTGGGAAGCGGCCCCCATGGGCGGAGCATGCCTCCATGACACGATGCCCCCGATAATCACAAGGTGGGGATAATAAAATTCGGGGTTCCGGCGGGACAGTAAACTTTTCCCCGCACGTCGCAACAGGAAGAAAGAGGAGCAGGAGGAGGAGGAGGAGGAGGAGGAACGGACGGAATCTTTCGACGTGTTCGGATGCACGACGTGTCTCATGGTATAACGATACCGTGCTCGCTCGTGCGGGGCCTCCCGGGAAGGGTGGGAGGAGCAGGCATCCTGATAAAGACCATGGTGTAGCGATGACGTGCTCGCTCAGGCGGGGCCTCCCTGGAGGGGTGGGAGGAGCAGGAGTCCTAAGGAAAATTATGATATATGGCGATACCCTGCTCGCTCAGGCGGGGCCTCCCTGGAGGGGCGGGAGGATCGGGAATCCTGATAAATACGATGGTATAGCGA